GGGGGGGGGCCAAGTGAACATAGCCCCCTCCCCCCAGTACGTATTTTGTCCCTTGTAACTAGGTCACCTGATACATTTGGTTATGCGCTCAATTGCGCCACTTGAATTAAAGCTAGCGCCATTACGGTTAAGTCGTGACAAATTTTCAAAAAGTGGGGGGGGGGCCAACTTAACGTTTTTAAAAGATACTTTTTTTAAACATCTTTTCATACGAAATTGTTCTCTCAGGTATGCGCTGAAATGCGCCGTAAAAAGATATCTTTGAGCCATTATTGCTTTTTGGATATCCTTAAATATATTGGGGGGGGGGGGGGGGGGCAACCATGAGTGAACGGAAATCCCCCTCATAAGCTGCATGTTTGCTAGCCGTATTGTGTCCCTACATTTGATGACAATCACGTCGTTATGAGCATCCAATTGCGCCACTGAAATTAAAAGCTAGCGCCATACGGTTAAGCCATAAAAAAACTATTTAAGACAAGGGAATCGGCGCCTCTAAAATTCTTAGCGTATTTACAATTAAAGTATAATTTCCGGAAGTGCGTCCATTTTGAATATTATATGTTACATTGATTCGGCCTTCGGAAGTAAAAACCTCCTAAATTACAAATTTCTAGAAAAAACTAACCTATTTACTTTCCCAGAATCGTTTAACTAAAGCTCCCAAACCAAAAACACCCTGATATAGGTCTTACTGAACACAGGCAATATAAATGCCTGAACCGCAAAGAATACTTAAATTGTTTACGGCCAATTCTAGCGCGATGATGAAGGTAGGCGATGTAGTATAAAAAAACATGTTGCAAAAAACGGTAACTTTAAAACGTTGTTGCCCCCCGCCCCCACATATTTAAAAAATTTTTAATTGGAACCTTAACCGTAATGAGAAACAACTCCTACGCTTAATTCAAGTGGCGGCCAGATTCGAGCGCATGTAAACCCACGATTGTGTATCAGGCGAACCTCTAGTTACAAGGGGGACAAATCCATAACCCGGCCGAACGTTACTCCGCCGGGGGGGGGAGGCTACGATTCACTTGCCCACGTCGCCCTCCCCCCCAATGTTTTTCGAAGATTTCTATGAAAAAAACGGATAAGTGGCCGCAAGAGTTATTATCGTGCGCATTATTTGGCAGCGCATAAAACGAAGCGCATATTCATATTATTCAAAATTAATTCACGAACTGATCAAATCTGCTCAGTGGAGGGGGGCCAAGTTAACGGACCCTCCGATTCAGGAGAATAATGCGCAATTTTTATAAACTAAATGAACTGTATTGAATTTACTGACTGTTCGTTATGACATTTCTATTTATATTCAAAAACAAACCTCTAATAATGAAAACTAGATTAAATTAGTGCAAATTGCACAATTGTCTTTACCGAGTGCAAACAATGGTGGTTAAAGGTTAATACGCAGAGGTCTCCGATAATGTTTGACGACATTGACACCGTGCGTCGGCCGGTATATGCGTTTTTTGCATCTGCAATGCATTTAAAAGGCGAGTCGCAGTTCCATCGATTTAGTTGATCCTTATCAATTGCGCTGAAAATGGTTTTGGAAAAAAACGGAGGTGTTGCACTCGCCCATCCCTTGCAAGGCGAGGAGATCGTCATTACCGGTAAGTCAGTGGTAGTGGTGATCAAACTGATGGTTCTTCACGAAAAGGGATGTCTGGGCGTTTTCCCGAGTCGGACGACATCTACCAGTACAGGAGAAACATCTACAACAAATTTGACATGATCACCAGCGATAATCGGCGCTGGTTACCGACCAACCCCGAGATACCCCATCGTATTGGTAAAATTAATCATCTCGAAAAACTGGACGCTGGCCAATTCGGTATATGACATGGTCCCGTGGTCGGGGGTAGGTCTCATTGTGCGTGTTTCAGATTTGCATTACTTCGAGGCCAACCAGATGGATCCCATGATCAAGATTTCTTTGGAGAAGGCGTACGAGGCGATCGTTGACGCCGGTTACAACGTGAACGAGATGAACGGTGCGAACTGTGGTGTCTTCATAGGGTGCTGCTTTTCGGAAAGCGAGGAGGTTCGTGCTTATGGGCGGACGAATGCCAGTCCGAACTTCTGGCTGTGACAGGTATGTGTCATTTTCCATTCATTCTTCAACCTTCTGCTGTCCATGCTCGTCAGAATTTGTTCATCAAACTTCGTCAATTGTGAAGCCAGCCCCACCCACTCTTACTTTCCCCCCGCAATCTCTTCACCGGAAACGACCTGTGCTGGTGGTATACGTGTGTGAAAGATTAATGTTAGAACATTAATAAAACGTCTTGAGATTCAAAAATAGAAAAATAAAGAAGTTCATAAATGTCATTAAATATTCATCATATATATTTTTTTAACATCTACACACTATAATTTATAAAATATTTTATGATCGTACTTCAACACATCCCCTCGATTAAAAATATTTATAAATTCAAATAAAGAATACTACATAAAAACTTACTTCTAAGTTCAAAATAGGAAATACACAGTTTTAAATAGAAAATACAAATTACCTCCCCTTATTTCATATTTTAAAAATCTTGATTCTTAGAGTAGACCTATAGCCTTAGCAAACATTTCTGTTTTGGGCCCTGACAGGGACTTCGTGAAGAGGTCAGCAAGGTTTTCTGATGAAGGTATATATTCTACTTTGATCATATACTATTATTAATACATTCTCTCACAAAATTGTATTTAACAACAAAATGCTTACTTCCTCCTTTATAGTTTCATTTTCTGCAATTGCAATCGAACCTTGATTATCACAATACACAATTTCTCTTCCAGAAATTAAATCTTCTTCACTTAATTCACGTAACAAAGATTGTAGCCACAGAAATTCACACATTGACTCATAAAGGGCGATATACTCTGCATGAGTTGATGAACTGGCTACGCATTTCTGTTTTCGGCTTTTCCAAATAACTGCTCCATTCCCAAAATTAAAAACATAACCAGTTATTGATTTTGCATCATTTTTATCAGTAACCCAGTCTGAATCACTATAACATGAGAAAACACCATTTTTCTTATAAGTTAATCTATAACCTATTGTTTTCTTTAAATACTTTAACACATTTTGAACACCTCTCCAATTTCTTACAGTGGGTCTCTGGTTGCATTGGCTCAATTTATACAGCATTTGCAATGTCAGGCCGAGTACAAGTGCTGATATAAAGAAGAGAGCTTATCGCCTTTTGATACAATTCACGGTCAAAAATTTCTCCTTCGCCTTTCACTTCAAAATGCGCTCCTACTTGAAGTTGACAAGAAGTGCCTTTAGATTCTGACATATTGTACTCATTTAAAATGGATTTTATGTACTGACTCTGATTTATAGTTATAACATTCTTACTAGGTCGATCAAACTGTATTGATATGAACGATCTTACGGGACCTAAATCTTTAAGTTTGATAATTTTTCCAATAATTTCTTTAAATTTTAAAACTTCTTCAATTCCCGAAACCAAAAAATCGTCAACATAAGCTGCCACTATAATGTCTTTCTTAAAAAATATGCAAGGTTCACTGATACATTTGGCAAAATCTAAACTTAACATAATCGATGTTACGTGATTATACCAGTTTCTACCTGATTGCTTAAGGCCGTACAGACTTTTTTTAAGTTTACAAACGAATTTACCTTTATCGAGTTCTAATCCATCAGGTACTTCCATCAATACTTCCTCATCCAAACTGCTAGTGAGGTACGCTCCGACTACATGTACATGATCCAACCTCCATCCATGATGTACAGCTAGATTCGTCAGAAGTCTGATTGATGTCTTCTCCACTACAGGACTCATAGTTTCAAAATAGTTTACTCCGTGAGTTTGACGAAAACCTTGTGCAACAAGTCGGGCTTTATACTTCTTAATGTTTCCATCTCCGTTTTTGATTGTGAACACCCACTTGCAGCCTATTACCCTTGCACCTGGTTGTCGTTTTATAATTTTCCTGGTTTCTTGCAAATTTAAATTCCGAAATTCTTTATTAGTGGCATCCTCCCATGCAAGTGCGTTTGAGCCATTCACAGCTTCCTCATAACTGGACGGAATATTCTCTTCATGATCGTAGAGTTGAGCACACATACAAAATGGCAATTTACATAATTTTCTTGTTACTGGTGCTCTACTAGATTTTCTTAATTTTACAGGTCCTTCGTCAGTATTATCGATTTCAGTTTGCTCTTCTCCTTGGTTATGAATCATTTCTTCTATTACAGCTTCTTGATTTTGAATTTCCAGCTCTCCATCTAACACGTCTTGATTTTGAGCAACCATTTCTCCTTCGGGTACAATTTCAATAGCATAATTTTTATCTTTAGAGATTTCAGACCACAATCCTTCTTTTTCGTTTAACTCGCTTAGGAAATTGCAGTCATAATTCTTAATCTTAAATATCTGAGTTTGGTTTCACTTGGTACTTTCAATACAGGTTGTTTAAATGGAAAAATCTCTTCCTGAAAAATTACATCTCTCCTGATGATTACCTTTCTTCGCTTCAAACTCCATAATCTATAACCGTCCTTCGTATTTTCGGCGAATCCAATAAGCACACGTTTCAGCTTTTGATTCAAATTTCGTTGATTTAGATTTCATTGCCCATGCTTGGCAACCAAAAATCTTAATTAAATTTGCTGTCTCTAACTTTAATTTCTTATTGTGCCAGATTTAGTAAGGTATTTTAAAGTCAATTGCAGTTGAGGGGCACCGATTTCTGATAAAAACTGATGTCATAATTGCTTCTGCCCAAAAATTCATGGGTACACCGGATTCTAACATCATGCATCTTGCCATTTCTATCAGAACGCGGTTCTGCCGTTCTGCCAGACCATTTTGCTGCGGACAACCTGGTGCACTTCTCCTATCTTTTATTCCATTTTCATGCAAATACTTCTCGAAAACATTTGATATGTACTCGCCACCATTGTCCCTTTGCAGGGTCAGTAACTTTTTCTGTTGATTTTCCGCTTCCTTATGAAATCTAACAAATTCAAGAAATGCCTCATCCTTCGTCTTCAAACATTTGGCAACGATATAATGAGAGTAATCGTCAATAAGAGTCATAATAAATAATGATCCGCCAATAGATTGTGGTGAAATTTTACCCATTAGGTCGCTGTGGATGATCTGCAATACTGCTGTTGTTTTCTCACTTCTTTTCTTAGGGAAACTAAAACGACTGAATTTTCCTTGAATGCAAACTTCACATTTCTCGTCATCTTTATTTGGTTCTTCTTTTAAATTTTTGAGGAAAGGAATTCTCAACAAATCCCTTTTATTCACATGTCCAAATCTTCGATGCCATAGCTGCATGTTATAGACTGCTCTACATGCTAATCCATTCTTCTGTTCAATGTTAAAATTTTTACTTCTTATATCCGCAGTATTTACAACGTATACCCGATCATCCTTCTTTACTCTAAAGATCAGCTCATCATTATCCAAAACTACTCCTCTTTCACCAGTGGACATGACGTCCAAACCTTTATCTGTCAACCTTGAAACAGACATCAAAGCACATTCAAGATCTGGAACGAAAAGTGTCTCAGACAACGTGATCCTGAATCCTCCGTCTTCTTCAGGTGTACGAATCATGACGATGCCTTTGCCTTCTATCTGAGCTTCGTCCCCATTTCCCATCTTGATAGTAATCTTCATCCAGTTCGACAAATTCTTCTTTCAATGGTGTCATGTCATCTGAAGAACAAGAGTCTAAATACCAGCATTTCCTCTCCTACTGAACAATACGCTTTGGCTTTGTGGACTTAATCGACAATTTCACTTATTGCACTACTTGCCATACCTTCCTTCTTGTGTCGTTGTCTCAAGAACTCCTTCAACTCTGGACAGTCACAAGATTTGTGTCCTAAATTTCCACAGGTGTAGCACTTGTAGACTCGATCTTCATTTCTACTATCTCCTTTAACTCGTTGAGTATTATTTCCATGATAGACTCGATTGTCATTTCTATTTTCTCCTTTAGCTCGTTGAGTATTGTTTCCATGGTTTTTCGATTTCATACTTTGGTTTGCTTTTGAGTTCTGCACTGCTGTCATAGTTTTGACTTCGTCTGTTTTTGTCGACAGTCCGTCTAATCTGATTTGGCGTTTCTCTTCCACCAACAATTTACTTATGATATCATCACGACTTAAACTTTATTGATGTTCTAATGTTCTAATGAAGATTTCATATTTGTCCCTTGGAAGACCCCTCAGAATCTTCACGCGTTATTTGCATATCCATCTAGCCTTGCCTACATGACCACCATATGCGTCGTCTTGTTCCGATCTCCTTCACGACAACCCCCTTCCATTTACCAATCCCGCATCTCATTGATTCTTCATTTACTTATTCTTAACGTCCCACAAGCGTTTTTGATTTGATTTTCAATTTTATTTTATGCAGAGGCGATCAAATTCGATTTTCCTTAACAGGTTCCTGGATGAAAAAGTATTGGTTTGGCTTATAAAAAGAAATTCGATGTTCACGTAAATTGTTCTCATAGGTCGATTCCTTTAAGAATATTAAAATTACTTCAAATAATTTCTCAGTTTAATGTTTACATAGTTGATTGATTCCTTCTTCTTTAGGAGTTCTAGATCTATGACTTCGCAACGCATCAGTCACTACTTCAATCTGAAAGGGCCGTCTTATATTACTGACACGGCGTGCAGCAGCTCACTTTACGCTTTGGAGCACGCGTACCGAGCCATTCGGACTGGTCGATGCGACAGCGCATTAGTTGGCGGAGTCAGCTTGTGCCTAAACCCCATAGCATCTCTCCAGTTTGCTCGGTACGTGATGGGGGATGTGAATGGGTTCTGGTAACAGAGTTGTTGCAGGTTAGGTGTTCTGAGTGCGGACGGGATGTGCAAGCCGTTTGATGAAGACGCGAATGGTTACGCCCGCTCTGAGACAATTTCCATTGTCTTCCTGCAGAAGGCTAAGGATGCTCGGCGAATTTACGCACAGGTAATAACCCACCCTTAGTCACCTTGATTCTAGTTCTCCCTTGTAGTTGTTGCACACCAAAACAAACAGCGACGGCTACAAGGAGCAAGGGATAACGTTCCCGTCGAGCGAAATGCAAAAGGTCCTCTTAGACGACACCTACGAGGAATGCCGACTGGATCCCACAATAATCGACTTCCTCGAAGCGCACGCCACTGGTACCAGGGTCGGCGATCCCGAAGAAATGGCCGCGATGGAGCAAGTCTTCTGCACCAACCGCGACGCACCACTGTTCGCCGGCTCCATCAAGTCCTACCTGGGTCATACGGAGGGCGCGAGTGGAATATGCTCGCTGGTCAAGGTTCTGATCGGAATGGAGGACGACTGCCTTTTGCCAAACATCCACTACGACAAACCGCGGCAGAGCATAAAGGCTTTGATTGAGGGCAGAGTGGTGGTCCCTTTAGACAAAATGCCATGGCCGAAAAACGGCTCGGGTGTGGTTGCGATTAACTGCTTTGGCTTTGGCGGGTCAAATGCGCACGTTATCCTTAAGAGATTCGAGCAACGAAAGGTTAATGGAGGATTGCCCGAAGATGACTTACCGCGACTCATGTGCGTAAGTGGTCGCGTGCCGGAATCGCTGGAAAGCATATTTGATGACATCAGTGGGCGTAAACTGGACGCTGAGTATTGCAGGTTACTTCAGGAGGCATTCAAGTGAGTACCCTCCTCGATTCCACCAGTTCTCTATACAGTTGATGCTCTGAATCTTCCAGTTCTTCCTTGCATGTAGGTTTTTTGTAGTCTGGTTTCTAATTCAATCCATCATCAGTTCTCGAATTAATCGCCAAGATTCTTGATTTCGAATAAAATTGATAGATTGATCAATATATTTCTACTACACGACCAAGTTCCTTTTTTTGCATAAACCCGCTACTTATTATTAGTTTTTCTCCTAATGGCAACTCACAATGAATTAATAAAGCACCCACAACAATAATTTCGTCGAAATGGTGGCACAGTTTTCCCTTATAATTCAATTTTTAGAATAAAATATCACGTACCACTACGCGTATGACAAATCTTTCATAAACTTAAAAGAAACGCGATTTCGTTTCGAACCATTCATAAAAAGAACCTTCAAAATGCCGCACTTAACTCGTACAGCTTAGCTTCAAAAGTTTGGAATCCTCTCTCTCCCGCCCAATTTTTACTTAAGTGCTCGCCGAATGCCACCCGGCTTCGGTTATGTTTTGTATGCATGTAAAGGTACGAGTATAGCTGCAGTTTCTTCGTTGTGTTCATTCTTCAATCATCCTTTCACCTACACACTCTCTTATAATTTAACTCTCTGTGTCCCTGACCCACCCCCCCCCCTTTCCAAATCTCATGTTCGATTTTTCGACATACAATGCCATTCACTTTTTCCCATTTCTTTAATTAAACACTCCTCTCTTATAATTGCCCTACTTCTTGTTTCGTCATATTACTCCTGCCTGATTTTCGGAAGTTATTGAATTTTTCTTTTTTGCTGGGGGGAGGGGGTATTCCATACTCCCAGACCTGACATTCCTGAAGGGTGATCGTTTTATGGAAGAAAGTGTTACCTGTGGACCCCCGAGCATATAAGACAGTTCCCTTGCCTTTTTCCGAAAATCGCCACGAGGGTACCATGGGAAAGGGTGAGGATTGTGGGAACGGTTAACGACTCTTTCTTTACTGTCAATATAATTTTTGGAAATAGTCATTGAACTTTCCTTTTTTGCTGGGGGGTTATTCCATACCACCCACATCCTCCGGGGCTACGTTCTCTGCAATACTTCTTAGAAGGGTGTCTGATGACCTTTTCCCAAAAATGACAATGCGATTCCTAAAGGCTGAACGTTTTATGAAAGAAAGTGTTACCGACCGAGAGGTCTGGAGGGTTTGACCCAAAGCCTATACGACAGTTCCCTTGCCATTTTCCAAAAAGTACCACGAGGGTTCCTATGGGAAAGGGTGTGGGTGATGGGGCAGGGTTATCCAGTCCTTCTCAATGTAATTTTAGGAAATATGATTTTCCGGAAATGGTAATTGAATCTTTTTTTTTTCTGGGCGGTATTCCATGCCCCCCCCGGTGCTAGGATCTCTGCAGTTCTTCTTAGGAGAAGAGTACATATGTGTCCTGAAACTCCATCATAATACAAAATACCAAGAAACTTGGGAAATTATCGAGAATCCAATACTTTCTTCATCTTTGGTTTTTACGCTAGACTGCGCCTATACAAATATTTGCTTGTTGCAGGGGTACCACCACTGACCACCCTTACCGTGGCTACATAATCCACTCCAAAGCTGGCGAGCTGAAGCGAAGCTCGAGGAGGTTCGACAGCAGCAAGAGTCGCGTATGTCTCCTCCTTCCAGGACCAACTGTGGAGCTCCTCGAGATCGGCAGTGGACTGTTCAGATTTTCAGCGTTTTCCGCGGCCGTAGAGAGGTGAGTCAACAACCAAAGGGCAGAAAACCTTACCCTCACCTTACAGAATCGCCTCGTTTTTACCACATGAGGTTCATCTAACCAAGATAATAAAAAATTGCGAATGCAAAGGGGGGCGAGAATTAGTACTCGCGAATTTGGCCATTCAGCTCGCCTTCATCGAGCTGCTCAAGAAGCTAAATTTATCGTTAGACTACACGGCGGGGATGTCCATTGGAGAGTTATCCGCCGGTTATGCAAACGGGCGGATTAATTTCGAACAGGCAATCGCGGTCGGGTACGAAATTTCTCGACTGGTGGGCGACGATCTACGTCTCGAGTACGCCTTAAGTACCAAAAGCTCGCTGCTGTTGAGCCGGCTACAAAAAGTGGTACCCAGTCCGGAAGTGATACTTCATAGTCTCCTAAACCCGAAACCTTTGGAAGCGCGCGAGTGGCAGCAGAGCCATTATTCCGAACTGGCAGTGGTCGTGCTCGGTTCCGATCGGATTCGGCTGAACGGTTTCTCTTCCTTGCACATTTCCGGCTCAGATGCCGTGACCTCATTTCTGGATGTTGTGGGAGGGTGAGTAGCCACGAGGGCGCGGGTTTCTCCTACAGAAATCTCTTGCAGTCTTTACAAGCTCGGGCACAATCTCAACGTGGAAGCTCTGTCCCCGCCAGTCAAGTGGCCGGTTGGTCATGGAACGCCCATGATCTCGCCGCTCATTAAATGGAACTACGACTTAGATTGGTTTACAAAACTTCACACGAAGACGGTCTTGCATACGGGCGCCCAAGTTATTCCTTTGGTTAACAAGACGATTGACTGGTCCATCTTACCAGGCCACGTCATTGATGGTAAGTCAAGTCCTCCTCGAGTTGCTTGATCCATAGGATGCTTCTTTGGTGAAGGTATTCACTAGATCCCCTTGTCTTGTTATAGAGGTGATCGTTAAAATTGTACTCGAACAGTTTCCAAATGCTTAAGTTTAAGCGTTTTAACAGACCTCCAGGGTTTTGCAATTTCCAGAAGTTGTCCAGATTAATATTGCAAGAATAATTGTTTCAATAGTTGTTTAGATAACAACCACGATGACTTTCAAGTCACCTGGTGCATGCGTAGTAATTCAACATTGGAATTGCGCAGTAGTTTCAAATTTGGTGCATGTGCAGAGTGGATTGGTGTACTCTCGTTGTTTTATGTCTTGGCACATCTTCACGTGTCGACTACTACTCTTCATTCCTCTAGCTCATTGGGTCTGAACTTGCACGTGTTTAGGTATGACGATAATGCCCGCAACCGGATACCTCTTCATGATCTGGGAGACGTACTGTAAAATTGTGGACGTTCCAATGAACGGTTCTCGGGTGCGCTTCGACAACGTGAGATTCCACAAAGCCGTCCACATTTCCAAAATATCGGAGATGGAATTCAAGATGACCATCGGCCGAGGAACGAACAGATTTGAGGTAAATATAGTCTGGGCCAACCCTCCTACTTAGTACACTTTAGATCGGAGACGTCGACGAAGTGATCGTTTCCGGAAGCATACGCACTCTCTCAGACACGGATGAATTCATTGATCTTGCCTTGTCACCGGAAGATGACGAAGGAATCTCTTTCGCGTCCAAAGATATTTACAAAGAGTTACGACTGCGGGGTTACAACTACTCGTAAGTGACTTGGCAAAGGTGATGGTTTGTATTGAATTCTTCTAGGGGAGCGTTTCGCGCGCAGGAAACAGCCCATATATCCGGATTGATCAGCTGGATTAAATGGGAACGTAACTGGATCGCATTCATCGATAACATGCTGCAGACGAAGCTACTCGGGGAAGATACGCGAAGTCTGTACGTCCCCACGTTCATCGGCCAGTTGAAGATTGACGCCATGAAGCACTTCGAGTACGTTAAGCAGCTGGACAACCCATCTCTACTGCCTGTGTATAATCACCGCGAGGCTGATGCAATCAGGTGAGTTAGGCACACTCTCGAGGTGATTATAATTAGTGAAGTAGCTGTGGAGGTATCGAGCTGCGGAAGCTTTACGCGACGCCAATTCTGCGCCGTAAGGTGACCGCCGAGCCGGTCCTGGAGACGCACAAGTTCGTGCCTTTTAACACCGAGCTGCCTATGCAATCTGCGATGCGCGTCCTGGTGCAGATCTTCCTTGAGAACACACTCTCGCTGAAGGTTAAGATCGTGGAGGTCGCGCAAATTGACGCGATATCTCCAATTCTGCAAGAGGCTTTGAATGACCAGCCGCTGGTTAAGACTGAAGTTATCATTTTGGGCGACGAAAACTTGAGTGTTCCAAACATGAAGGTCCACAACAAGGCGTTGTCCACCGAGAAACAGTGCGCGATAGTCATTGTAGAGGGGGCATCGGGTAACCTTGAACTACTCAAGGAGGCTGAAGGTGTTCTCAAGGAGAACGGTATTATTATCTCCAGGGAAAGAGGTGAGTTCACTGCAAATTTCCCTGGCCACGCGCTTCTGGCGCAAGTTAAAACTGAAACGGAAACGCTGGTGTTGCTGAGGAAGGTTGTGAGCTACCGGAAAGAGCATGTGATCATGGCCAAGTTTGATGGTACGGCTTACGACTGGTTGCCCAAACTTCAGAGTGCCATGCGAAATGAAACCAAAACGTTGGTTGTTGTTGAAAATGAGCCCCTAAGCGGCGTGCTCGGCTTTGTCAATTGTCTAAGACGCGAACCTGGGGGAATGAATGTGAAATGCGTCTTTGTTCAGGACGGGAAAGTTAAATTTAACCTCTCCGATCCACTCTTCCGCGAACAGTTGGACAAGGACCTAGCAATTAACGTGTTGAACCAAGACGTTTGGGGTAGCTATCGCCATCTGCCGCTGGAGCGCGTGACAGAGGTTGAAACGCAGCACGTCTTCTGCAACCAGAACGTCGTTGGAAACTTGTCGACGCTCAGTTGGGTCGAAGGGCTACTCTCGCAAGATAACTCCAAGGAACCCGAACGATCAGTCAAGGTTTGTACGAAGATTTCACCAGGTGGTGGTTTAACGGCTTGCTTAGGTATACGCCAGTTCCATCAACTTCATGAATGTTATGTTGGCTTCCGGTCGTGTTCCTTCGGAGGCGTACACAAAGGATCGGCTTGCTTTAGCCACAGCGCAAGGTATTGAGTACGCTGGGATTGATGCAAGGTAAATTCCATTACTAAGTAGACCTGGTGTAGCGTGCAATTGTAGGGGCGAGAGGGTAATGGGAATTCTACAGTATGGGGCTATGGCCAGTTCCGTTGTCCCCGACGGGGAAATAATCTGGAGGATACCCTGTGAGTGGACTATGGACCAGGCCGTCAGTATTCCGATTACCTACTCGACGGTGTTGTGCAGTTTCTTCGTGGTAAGTGCCTGCGTAGCCCTTCCGTCGTTTAGTAGGACGTATTTAAGAGCGCCCATCTCAAACCGGGACAAAGTCTCCTGATACACTCCGGGGCTGGAGGCGTAGGACAGGCCGCCATCTACATTGCCTTGTCCTACAAGTGCCAAATATTTACAACTGTCGGTACCGAGGAGAAGAGGAAGTTCATTATGGAAACATTCCCAGAGATACCAGGTGGGCAAGTAAACTAATCCACACGAACTCATTCGGTCCGTAGCTAGCCACATCGGCAACTCTCGCGACACCTCCTTCGTGCAGATGGTTTTAAAGCACACGAAAGGAAGAGGAGTCGACTTGGTTTTAAACTCTCTAGCCGAGGAAAAGCTCAAAGCGTCACTTCAGTGCCTTGCGCCGAAAGGATACTTCGTCGAGATAGGCAAATACGACTTGGTCAACAGTAACAAACTTGCACTCTCTGTACTTAGCGAAGGGCGTAGCTATGCCGGCTGCATGTTGGATATGTACTTCAGAGACTTCCACAATCAAAAGCACAAACTACAACAAATTCTGAGTAAATTCCTGAAACAAGGAGCGGTTAAGCCTTTGTCCCTCGCCACCTTCAACATGGACCAAGTGGAAGAAGCTTACCGTTTCATGGCGGCAGGCAAACACGTAGGAAAAGTCGTCGTCAAGGTTCGCGATGAAAACCAGCAATCACCAGAACTATTCAAGGCTCTCCCAAGGTACTGTTTCTACTCAAGAGATCGCTAATGACCGAGCATTCCAGATTCTCTTGCGACCCTTGCATGACGTACATCATTTTAGGAGGCTTGGGAGGCTTTGGACTGGAACTGGTTGATTGGTTGATACTAAGAGGTGCCCGCAAGTTAGTTTTAGTCTCTAGAAATGGTGTCCGAAATGGCTACGCTGCGTCCAGGCTTAGGTGAGAGCAATTTGCGATTAGCCCTTCACGACCATCTTCGCTTAGAGTTTGGAAAACGTACGAGGCTACCATAAGGGTGGCCACAGATGACGTCACCACCGAAGAAGGTTGCGCGCGGCTGTTGGAGAGCTCGGAGAAGCTTGCGCCCGTAGCCGCGATCTTCAATTTGGCCGTGGTTCTTCGAGATGACCTCTTCGAGAACCAGACGGAGGAGAACTTCGTGAATGCACTCTCGCCGAAGGCCCGTGCGACGCAGCACCTAGATATCCTAAGTCGGCAGCTCTGCCCTCGGCTACAGT